TGTCTATTCCATTTGCACAACAGCATGTGAAATTGATTGTCAATCAGTGTTGCTACCTAAGTGGACAGTTTGATTTCACAGAAGTGTGACTGACTTGGAGTTAAATTGTGTTGTTTAAGTGTTCCCTTTATTTTTTTGAGCAGTGTATTTCCAACAAGCTATTTTGTCCCTACATTTGCTTCAAAAGTACAGGTATCCCTCGACTTGGCTAAGGATCAAGATATAGAACTGGATATGATCGGCATACTGATGGAACCCAATCTATGCTAGGAGATAACTTCACCCAGTAGTTTCAGGCAGATGCTGAATAAAACTGGAGAGTGTGTTGAATTCTGTGGGATCTCACAAAACAAACGCCTTGGATCTTTTCCAAGGATTGAAATCCTGGATTTCCTCCCCTCCTAACACCAATTAGAAACTCGCCCAAAGCAAGGAAATACAACAAAATAGAGCCCTGAAATATCCAGAGACCATCCAGAAGGACACAATAATCAGTAGTATCAAATGCTACGGAGATCAAGCAGGACCACTCTTGGAACCCCCTTCCCCCCAAAAAAAATCACTTACAAGCACAGTCACTATTGTACTCAGACCTTAGATAATTCACTTTTTCCAGAGCCCTCTGAAGTTATTGCATAAAATGCATACCACATTCTCCATAATCTTCCCCCAAAAGGAAAGTCCAGAATCAGATAAAAAGAAATTCCACCAATGCTAAGCCAAGTGATGGTTTCCTGAGGAGACAGTAAGCCAAGCAGCCAACTCAAGGGTGAATTAACCACCACCTGAAGCCAATACTTGGTCCCTTCTCACAAGGTTTTAAATTTATCAGGAGGGACAAGGATCTAATATGCAGGTGGCATCCCTCAAAACTCCAACCTGTTCCTCGAAATTTCATAATAGAGCGAAGATGCTTTTTGACAGAAAAAAAGAGGGACACTAAGATACGCTTTAAAAGGTTAACAATTTCTCAAGTTAGATATAGGTATATTACCCAAGAATTAAAAACAATTTGTTGCTTGCAAACAATACTGCATACATGAGAGAATAAAACGTTTAGTGCTGCTATTCCACTTTGGCATGTTAATTCACACAGGTGCATTTTGCAGGAACATACAAGATTCCTGTCATCTCCAAAAGCAGAGAACGGTCAGCTAAAAATATAAATGGTTGAATCTATATAGTGCATGTAAGAATTGTAACGAACAACAGCAAAAAAGAAGCAGTTTCCTGTCATGTTTTTACCCAGAGTTTCTCTTGTGCTTTTATGTTCTAGTCTCAGGAGCTATACTAGTAAGAACTCTTGAAGCCACAAAGACATAACAAAAGTGGGTTTTTAAAGCACACTTAACAATTTAATGGTTTGGAGGGATGCATTATGTAACTTCTTCCCCCCCCCCCCCCCCAAAAAAAAACCCATAAAGCTTTGTTCTAGAAGCACACAAAGCACCTCATCCTTTTATTTATTTGTATGCCATTCATTCCGGAAGATTCCAGGCAACTAACAATCAGAAACATCTCTGAGCCACCTCCCCCCCCCCCGCAATAAAAAAAACCCACCCATAAAATAAATATATCGTAATTACACAAAAAAGAAAAATGTACGAAATATACATCTGCTAAATTCAGCTATTCAGTCACAGCATGCCTTCTTCCTGAGCCTGACTTGGGGAGGTGGGGCGGGGGGGGGGAGATCAGGTCTTATATCTTCTCCAGAAACCTAGAAGAGAAGCAGCAGGCTGGAGGAGCTCAATGGGGAAGGATTTCCAGAGAATTCCTCAACTTGCAATGGTTCATTTAATGACCATTCCAAGTTATAACGGCACTAAAGAGTGACTTATGACCGTTTTTTACACTTACAACTATTGCAGCCTCCCCATGGCCATATGGTCAAAATCCGGACGCTTGGCAACTAGCTCATATTTATGATGGTTGCAGTGTCCCAAGATCACCTCTGACAACCTTCTGACAACCAAAGTCAATGGGGAAGCCAGGTTTACTTTACAATCATGTTGCAACTGCAATTGACAACAAGAAAGGCAAGGAAGAACTTAAAATGGGACAAAATTCATGTAATAACTGTCTTGCTTAGTTGGGCTCAGTTGTGGTCATAAGTCTGGGACTACCTGTTTTATGGTAATTTTAATTAGATAAAAACAATAGAGATTACTAGATTTAAAAAGCCCTCATCCTACGTATCTCTATTGTAGTCTTAAGTGGTGATTGGGTTCTAAGTGATTTTGTTCTAAAAACAAAACAAAATCCCTAATTCACATCAAGATGTCCAACCTGCATTTGGGCTCCATCACTTAAGACCACAACAGAGACATATAGGATGAGGGTTTTTTTAATCCAATAACCTCCACTGTTTCTACCTAATTTAAATTAGGATAGTAAGCTAGGAGTAAAGTTAGTCTTCTCCATGGGCTTCTTCTATTAGAGAAAGAAGAAATAATAAATAGTAGTAGAAATGTAAACAACTGGGGGAAATAATGCATGTTGTCTTTAAAAAAAAGTCCTCCCTTATTTTATTGATTTTCTCTCATCATTTTCAAAATTCTTTTCAACTCTAGATTGAGAACCAGGCAAAATGAGATTCAAGATTAGATACGTGTTCATATAAACTAGTTCTCATCCCCTACCTGTTACAACCAAACATGATGTTTATTTTAGTCAATTTGTACAATAAAAAAAGAAATTAATCTTAAGTCCATCTTTCGATGACTTGCATTTTCTCCAGAAGAGAAGAAAAAATCTGGAGAAAGTCACAAAATACAAACACCTGCAAATAGAAATATAATTACTTTGGGAAAAGACAGAAAACAAATACAGTACCAATGCTAACAGGACCAAAACATCTGGAGCATCACTTGAACTGTGTCGGCATTGACAAAAATCACACCCAGTCAATTGCAAAAGGCAGCTTTATGTGGAAAAGCTTACATCCTGCAACACCACCTTTAGAACCATCAAACCATTTCCGTATCCCAGGTCTTTGGAAAGGACTCAAAAGGTGGACAAAAATCCTAAATCAAGCCTAAGTAGCTGGCTGTGTAACCAACAATAATTAAGGTATCAAAGGACTTGTAGTCATTATTCAACCGTGCTGGCTTTGCACCAGATTTAACACAGTAACAATAGTGCACAGGTTATGAAGGTCCTACCTTTATTGTAGCATCCTCTGAAGCAGAGACCATAACACTGAAAACTGGATGGAAAATTACTCTTGTGACTGGACTTCTGTGCCCACTTAATGCGTACTTTTCTGGAGGACGGGGAATCCATTCTTTAGGATCTCGCTTCTGACCAAGAGGCCCACCTGATGTAAATTCTTCTTTAGCTTCATTTAATTTGGATTCTAATTCCATAACCTAAGTTTCCAGAGAATCAAAAGAAAGAGAGCTAGGAGAGGGTACACTGTTTCTTTTTTAAAAAAACCATCAAACCCTATCCTTTTTCAACAGGTTAAGAAATGAGGAAATTGTGCTGTAAACCGGAAATTAACAAATGTCAGGCTTTATTTTTTCTGATATTCTTTTTTATTTTTGTTTTTATCCTGTCTTCATTATTTTCATAAATAATTCAAACACACTTCATGCACCATCTTCCTCCTCTTTTCCCCACCAACAACCCTGTGAGGTGGGTTAAGCTGAAAAAAGGGAACTGGTTCAAACTCATCCAGTTGGCTTTCATGCCTAAAGCAAGACTACAATTCACAAATTTCACAAAAATTTAAATTTCACAAAATTTAAATTCAAAAATTTAAATTTTTATTTCAGATACTGCTTAAAAATCTTGGCACAACATTTTTTTCTCAGTAACATACCAATTTAAGTTTCTACTTACTTTCTTTTGTAATCTTATAACTGATGTCCATTTTTTTTCCAAGAGCCCAGCATATTTCTTATCTAATTCTTCATTCTAGTGGGGGGGAAAGGAGATCAGTCATTAAACAAATCAAAACTTTTTAAGGAGCATTTTCCCCATGCTTGGTTTTTCTTCTTCAAGAAGAGAGGCAGAACAACTTCTGGTTTCATAAAAATGTGGAACTTAATGAAGAATCAGTACAAACCTATTACTGCTGGTTGGAAACCTACATAAAATAAAAGTGTTATGACTGGAGGTATTATGCTTGTAACAGAGTTAAATGTCAGTCAATACTAAGTTTGCTGGGGGGGGAGGGATTGTGAATGATTTGTAACACTATCACCCACCAGGAGTTATGGGGATTGAGATGTATATAACTTGAATGAATAGTCATTGTTAAAGTTAACACTGTCATCATATTAACCTGCTGATCTGTCATACAAATATAAGATTTACCTAACTCAGCCATTTTTCCTGCAGCAGGCAATCAGAAGTCTCTCTGAAAAACTCTAAGTAGCTCTCTAGATTCTTTTCCTGGATACCATTTCTCAGAGGCAGACTGCCTGAAACATTATCTAGATGAAAACCAACACATTTCATGGCAGCAAGTCTTATTCTGATCCGCACTGCAGAAAAATAAAACTGTCACCAATGTGCCTTAAGAATGTAGCTACTAAGAAGCTTCCGTAGATAAACCTGATGAATAACAGGTTATTTAAGACTATAGGCAGATTATATAAAATATGCCTAATCCATAGATACAAATGCTTACTTCAGTTGGAGTAAGCAAACAGGAGGTGTTACAGTAGTTTAAAAACATTAACAAATTGCCTATTAAGAATAAACTTTCTGGAATCCATATTATCAGATGCATGGAGATTTCCCTGGGAATTAGATGTGTAATTAGAACGTGTAAGAACGTTGGGGAGGGAGAGAAGGAAGAAAGCAATAAAAAGCAAGGTCAAATGAAAAATGAAATGTAGAAAGTAGTCAGCAAAAATTACTCACAGATAATAGTCATTAACAGTTACTGGGTATGAAGCAGACAGTCTTGAATCAATGAGCTGATTAAAACATGCACTGCAGTTAAGAAAACCGGGTCCCTGTTTCTTACTGGGGAACAGCATTGAAATCTCTCAATGTTTCTAGCTCAGCTGTTTTGAGATGGAAATACTTATTTTTTTTTCTTCCTTTAAAGATAGTAGCCATTGCTTGATTTTTACAAAATATTTTAAATTCACTAATTCATTCTTTACAGAATTCACCCTCTTCTGGCTTCTCTTTTATTCTTCTCATAAGGAGAGAAAGCCTCCCTCGTGGCTGATTAACATAAATATTTAGCATATTCAGATTCTCCTTTTTATCTTCTGGGGGAAAATATTTAATGAGATTGATGGATAAGGCAGCACTCCTCTCATCAAGCACTGTTTTCAATTACACCAACAGCTAGATTACAAAAGGACTTTTTGTGAATGAGAGTTAGAGAAATGAAATTGGAGCCTTGAGTAAGTATTTTTGTAAGGAAAATGAAATTTGATGTTTTCACAGCCTGAGATTAACATGTATTTAAATTGCATGTAGTCTGGAGTTGTCTAAAGATCTGGGATATTTCCAGATCATACTGGAAGGCGAATGGAATGTCTTAATATCAAAAAGGTTAATTTATAAGGATGGTATTCTATACTACTTACATATTTTTAAAACCTAAAATATTTTATTATAGAAAATTAATCAATAAGGTACATTTATAGAACAGTAAGTACCTTCTAAAAAGTATATTATTAGTGTACAATATTAAACACAAAACATTAAAATAAACTTGTATTAGAAAACATATTTCACAGAATAGAATGTGAAAGCATATAGGATGAATTTTAAAAGAAAAAAGATTAAATAAAAAGAAAAGCTGAAGTTATTTCTCATTTATTTATTTATAAAGCTATATTTTCTGCTATGACTAATGTAATACTGCAACTTCTTCAGTTCATAAAGTTCCAAAAAGGCCAAGAGGAAGAGATGAAATGGGAAGCAGACAACTGACTATAAGATCTTCACATTCAACAGGTGAAAATAACATTAATGGAAAGATGGCCTGGTTTCTACTGACAGAAATTGCTCAAAGAAGGGTCTGAAATTGTTTATCATTATTGATAAAGTCAGAAAATAACTTATAAATAATTAGGAAATTTGTATCTGTGCACACCAATTTTATTCGCATCTTTACAAGTCGTTCTGAAAAAAAATGGGATGCTCCAGCAAATCTAACAGTTGTGTACAAGAATATTCTCTATCAGACTCTTATATTTATGTCATTCTAAAATTAATGAGTAGCCTATCGTAGATGCCAGTAATGTGCAACAATTAAACTAATCCAACTATCATTTGATGAATGATCCAAACTATTGAGGAAACTATTTTACACTAAAATCTTTAAACAAAAAACCAGAAAAATCATCTTTTAACTTTCACTGTTAAGGATAAAGCATTTATTTTTATTTATTATTACATTTACATGCTGCTTACAGTGACTCTGATTTCCAAACATGTTGTTAATATGGACAGAACTATCCATATTGAATGAAGTCCTGTGAAGATGTGGGCTGGAATATAAATTTCTTTCTAATGTAAAGTAGTGGAAAGCAGAAAAAGTTGTTTTAAATAAGCATACGTTAAGTACAGAAATTAATAGACAGCTTAGTTGGTATTGTTTTGCATTTTAAACAAAGACTTTGAAGGACAACTGGTGAACACTTTCAATAACTACTTATAGCAATATCACTTAGACTTATATACCACTTTATAGTGCTTTACAACCCTCTCAAAGCGGTTTACAGAGTCAGCATATTGCCCCCAACAATTTGGGTCCTCATTTTACCCACCTCGGAAGGATGGAAGGCTGAGTCAACCTTGAGCCTGGTGGGATTCGATCTGCCAAATTGCAGTGGGAGTAGCTTGCAGTACTGCACTCTAACCACTGCACCACCGAGGCTCCATTAATCTTTCCATTAAAAAAAAGACAAAAAATGAAGATATAGAGAAATGACAAACGAGATTTGCTGTTTCCCCCTGAAAACAGCAATAAAAGAAAATTGTAAAGAATACTGAGAATTGTATTGAAATGCCCCAGATAAATCTATACCTTAATCCAGCTCCAATATTATGAGATTTTGCAGTAGAGTTGATTGGGGGTGGGTGGGGGAGGAGAGTGTTGAGCTAGACTAAAACCAAAGTAGCCAGTTATATGACACTGGAAGTAGCTAAACATTTTTCCTTGTTTTTTGTCTAGTATGTAAAACAAAGGGATATGAGAACATTTGTATATGGTAATACAGACATCCTTGATCATTCCTGTTTTAGGCACTGTCTAAAAACACCTCTTTGGTCATGTTAATCTTTCCCATTCTGTAACTCTGTCTGGTTGGTTTAATGGTTTATGTTTTTATCCTATAGCAATTTTCACATTATTCTTGCAATTCGCTTCATTATTTAAATAAAAGAAAGCTGCTATACACATATTTTAAATGCACATCTATCATACACGTATTTTAAATGCTCTTACCTATTCTGCCTCAAGATGAGCAATATTATTCCAACAAAGTCTGCCCAGAGTCTATCAACATGTAGCTATAACTTTCAAAATCTGGTTAAATTCATCATTAATGAGTATCACTAAGACTATAGGTCATTATACTATACTAGGGGAAACTGCTGACACTATATGACAATTGATAAGAGACTGTGGGAAGAATTATCCCCCTAGCTGGAATATGAGAAATATACTCACCACATCAAGCTCTGCCTCCTTTTTAAAAACAGAGTATGCCTCTTCATAGCCGTTAGAACGAAGATAATCTGCTATCGCTCGATTTCTAAATGGAGAGATTTGGTTCACAGATTAATAATCACAGGAATTTTGAACAGTCCCCAACCTATGTTATCTCCAATACTTGCTCTACCAGAACCAACAAGGAGACAAAACTCTCCCCTTTTGTTTTGAAAGGGAAATTATGACTAATATCTCAATCCGTGTGTATATCTGTCATAGTTCTGTACAACATAAAATTTATCTTACAGTATATTTATTAGTAGTAACAGTAATTATTTTGCCAGGGAAGAAAGGAAATCAGTCTTTGCCTGGACTTGTCAGAGGTTTCTGACATAACTGTTTCTGCTGTCGTCCTAGATTGTTTTACAGAGTTAGGAGTGTTAAGACACATGTCTAAATTCTATGCAGTGGAGGGAAGAATTTTGGACTTCCTACTCATTTTAACATCCACCCAAAATTACCTTGTAGGGGAGATGGATGGCATAAAAAAAGTAATAAATAGAATAAAAAATAAATCTACATGTAAGAAATTGTAAGGGAGTGGCAGAGCACCTGGAGTTAACAGGTCAAGAACATTTAGCTACACGTCTTTTCTTTCTTAAACCCCACTGTGGCAAATAAAAATCCTGAATTAATTCCTGGAATTAAAAATGGGCTGGATGAATGCCACTAATGTAAAACTTACATCAGGTTTTGAAAGAATGATGGTTATAGATAGTCCACAACTGAGCCCAAAATTTCTGTTGCTATGCAAGGTGTTAAGTGTATTTTGTCCCATTTTACAATCTTTCCTGCCAAGTGAATTACTGCAATTGGTGAGTAACACTGTTGTTAAGCGAATCTGACTTCCCCATTGGCTTTTGATTGTCAGAAGGTTGGAAAAGGTGATCACATGATCCCGGAACACTCCATAAATACGAGCCAGTTGAAGTGTCTGAATTTAGATTGTGTGACCATGGGGAAACTGCAACGGTTATGTGGAAAACAGGTCATAAGTCACTTTTTTCAGTGCTGTTGTAACTCTGAATGGTCACTAAACAAACTTGTTTAAGTCAAGGACTACCAGGCTCATTAATGAGACGGAGGCTAGGACCTTCCTTGAGCTATCAGATTCAGATCCAAGAATCTCTCCTGTATTCCCAAATAAGAGTCTGGCGATGAACTTTTTCTTTGATAACTGAGATTAGTCTTAGGGGCCTACCCATCTAATCATTCTCTTACATCAGTTTGCTGCAGTACAACTAACTTATTGAAAATATCTGGTCCAAAATACACTGCTCAAAAAAATAAAGGGAACACAAAAATAAGACATCCTAGATCTGAATGAATGAAATATTCTTATTAAATACTTTGTTCATTACATAGCTGAATGTGCTGACAACAAAATCACACAAAAGTTATCAACGGAAATAAAATTTAGCAACCCACGGAGGTCTGGATTTGGAGTTACACTCAAAATTAAAGTGGAAAAAAACACTACAGGCTGATCCAACTTTGATGTAATGTCCTTAAAACTCGTCAAAATGAGGCTCAGTAGTGTGTGTGGCCTCCACGTGCCTGTATGACCTCCCTACAACGCCTGGGCATGCTCCTGATGAGGTGGCGGATGGTCTCCTGAGGGATCTCCTCCCACACCTGGACTAAAGCATCCCCCAACTCCTGGACAGTCTGTGGTGCAACGTGGCATTGGTGGATGGAGCGAGACATGATGTCCCAGATGTGCTCAATTGGATTCAGGTCTGGGGAACGGGCGGGCCAGTCCATAGCATCAATGCCTTCGTCTTGCAGGAACTGCTGACACACTCCAGCCACATGAGGTCTAGCATTGTTGTGCATTAGGAGGAACCCAGGGCCAACCGCACCTGCATATGGTCTCACAAGGGGTCTGAGGATCTCATCTCGGTACCTAATAGCAGTCAGGCTACCTCTGGTGAGCACATGGAGGGCTGTGTGGTCCCCTAAAGAAATGCCACCCCACACCATTACTGACCCACTGCCAAACCGGTCATGCTGGGGGATGTTGCAGGCAGCAGAACGTTCTCCACGGCGTCTCCAGACCCTGTCACATCTGTCACATGTGCTCAGTGTGAACCTGCTTTCATCTGTGAAGAGCACAGGGCGCCAGTGGCGAATTTGCCAATCTTGGTGTTCTCTGGCAAATGCCAAACGTCCTGCACGGTGTTGGGCTGTAAGCACAACCCCCACCTGTGGACATCGGGTCCTCATACCACCCTCATGGAGTCTGTTTCTGACCATTTGAACAGCCACATGCACATTTGTGGCCCACTGGAGGTCATTTTGCAGGGCTCTGGCAGTGCTCCTCCTGTCCCTCCTTGCACAAAGGCGGACGTAGCAGTCCTGATGCTGGATTGTTGCCCTCCTACGGCCTCCTCCATGTCTCCTGATGTACTGGCCTGTCTCCTGGTAGCGCCTCCACGTTCTGGACACTACGCTGACAGACACAGCAAACCTTCTTGCCACAGCTCACATAGATGTGCCATCCTGGATGAGCTGCACTACCTGAGCCACTTGTGTGGGTTGTAGACTCCGTCTCATGCTACCGCTAGAGTGAAAGCACCACCAGCATTCAAAAGTGACCAAACCATCAGCCAGAAAGCATAGGAACTGAGAAGCGGTCTGTGGCCACCACCTGCAGAACCACTCCTTTATTGGGGATGTCTTGCTAACTGCCTATGCTTTCCACCTGTTGTCTATTCCATTTGCACAACAGCATGTGAAATTGATTGTCAATCAG